TTGGCCTAATATGGGAGTCAAAGTCGGCAAAATCGCCAATTCGTAAATATCGCTGACACATCAAAATTCACGAGAGCATAATTTCGTCAATTTTCCATCAAATTTCGTACTTTTTGTTTTATTACATTCACAAAAAGATTCTCTACCATTTCATAAGAAAAAATAAACATTTTTTTTTTTTGAAAATTCTTGGACACTGAGATTTTGGCCTTGGACCCTGAAAGGGTTAAGGACCTCAATGGAAATAAGTTAGACAGTCCTCGATGATGCACTGACTTTCTTGGGTTATCCTGGGTGGCTAACCCTCCAGGGCTAAAAATCCGAACGAAATCTTATCTTATCTTATGTAGGGTGTAATGACAGTAGTATGTTGGACTATGTATTGGTAGATGAAAGACTGTTGAGTAGACTTCAGGATGTACATGTCTATAGAGGGGCTACAGATATATCAGATCACTTTCTAGTTGTAGCTACACTGAGAGTAAAAGGTAGATGGGATACAAGGAAAATAGAAGCAGCAAGTAAGAGAGAGGTGAAGGTGTATAAACTAAAAGAGGAGGCAGTTAGGGTAAGATATAAACAACTGTTGGAGGATAGATGGGCTAGTGAGAGTACAGGCAATAGGGTCAAAGATGTATGGGGTAGGTTTAAGAATGTAGTGTTAGAGTGTTCAGCAGAAGTTTGTGGTTACAGGAAAGTGGGTGTGGGAAGGAAGAAGAGCGATTGGTGGAATGATAATGTAAGAGATGTAAGGGAGAAAAAGTTAGCATACGAGAAGTTTTTACAAAGTAGAAGTGATGCAAGGAGGGAAGAGTATATGGAGAGAAAAAGAGAGGTTAAGAGAGTGGTGGAGCAATGTAAAAAGAGAGCAAATGAGAGAGTGGGTGAGATGTTATCAACAAATTTTGTTGAAAATAGAAAAAGTTTTGGAGTGAGATTAATAAGTTAAGGAAGCCAAGGGAACAAATGGATTTGACAGTTAAAAATAGGAGAGGAGAGTTATTAAATGGAGAGTTAGAGGTATCAGGAAGATGGAGGGAATATTTTGAGGAATTGCTAAATGTTGATGAAGATAGGGAAGCTGTGATTTCGTGTATAGGGCAAGGAGGAATAACATCTTGTAGGAGTGAGGAAGAGCCAGTTGTGAATGTGGGGGAAGTTCGTGAGGTAGTGGGTAGAATGAAAGGAGGTAAGGCAGCTGGGATTGATGGGATAAAGATAGAAATGTTAAAAGCAGGCGGGATATAGTTTTGGAGTGGTTGGTGCTGTTATTTAATCAATGTATGGAAGAGGGTTAGGTACCTAGGGATTGGCAGAGAGCATGCATAGTTCCTTTGTATAAAGGCAAAGGGGATAAAAGAGAGTGCAAAAATTATAGGGGAATAAGTCTGTTGAGTATACCTGGTAGAGTGTATATGGTAGAGTTATTATTGAAAAAATTAAGAGTAAGATGGAGAGTAGGATAGCAGATGAACAAGGCTTTAGGAAAGGTAGGGGGTGTGTAGACCAAGTGTTTACAGTGAAACATATAGGTGAACAGTATTTAGATAAGGGTAAAGAGGTTTTTGTGGCATTTATGGATTTGTAAAAGGCATATGACAGGGTGGATAGGAGGGCAATTCGGCAGATGTTGCAGGTGTATGGTATAAGAGGTAGGTTACTGAAAGCAGTGAAGAGTCTTCATTGATGACACAGAATCAGTAATGATGATAGACTCAGCCGCCATTAGGATTGCAAACAATTCAGTTTGCAGTGTAGACGCCCAGTTGTTAATTCTTATGTCTAACTCAACAAATTTATTACCTTTCGTAACTAAAGAGGTGGCAACAAAGCAGATGCAGCCCTTTTACGAGGATAATGAGGCTCAGGTTAGAGTATGTAGGAGAGAGGGAGATTATTTCCCAGTAAAAGTAGGCCTTAGACAAGGATGTGTGATGTCACCGTGGTTGTTCAATATATTTATAGATGGGGTTGTAAGAGAAGTGAATGCGAGGGGTCTTGGCAAGAGGTGTGGAGTTAAAAGATTAAGAATCAAACACAAAGTGGGAGTTGTCAAAGTTGCTCTTTGCTGATGACACTGTGCTTTTGGGAGATTCTGAAGAAAGTTGCAGAGGATGGTGGATGAATTTGGTAGGGTATGTAAAAGAAAAAAATTAAAAGTGAATATAGGAAAGAGTAAGGTTATGAGGATATCAAAAAGATTAGGTGATGAAAGATTGGATATAATAATAGAGGGAAAGAGTATGGAGGAGGTGAATGTATTCAGATATTTAGGAGTGGACATGTCAGCAGATGGGTCTATGAAGGATGAGGTGAATCGTACAACTGATGAGGAAAAAAGGGCAAGTGGTGAGCTTAGGGGTCTGTGGAGACAAAAAATTTTATCCGTGGAAGCAAAGAGGGGAATGTATGAGAGTATATTTGTACCAACACTCTTGTATGGGTGTGAAGCATGGGTGATGAATGTTGCAATGAGGAGAAGGCTGGAGGCAGTGGAGATGTCATGTCTGAGGGCAATGTGTGGTGTGAATGTAATGCAGAGAATTCGTAGTTTGGAAATTAGGAGAAGGTGTGGGATTACCAAAACTATTATCCAGAGGGCTGAAGAGGGGTTGTTGAGGTGGTTCGGACATGTAGAGAGAATGGAACAAACAGAATGACTTTGAGTGTATAAATCTGTAGTGGAGGGAAGGAGGGGTAGGGGTCGGCCTAGGAAGGGTTGGAGGGAGGGGGTAAAGGAGGTTTTGTGTGCGAGGGGTTTGGACTTCCAGCAAGCGTGCATGAGCGTATTTGATAGGAGTGGAGACAAGTGGTTTTTAATACTTGATGTGCTGTTGGAGTGTGAGCAAAGTAACATTTATAAAGGGATTCAGGGAAACTGGCAGGCTGGACTTGAGTCCTTGAGATGGGAAGTACAGTGTCTACATTCTGAAGGAGGCGTGTTAATTTTGTAGTTTCATAACTGTAGTGTAAAGCACCCCTCTGGCAAGGCAGTGATGGAGTGAAAGATGATGAAAGTTTTTCTTTTTTGGGCCACCCTGCCTTGGTGGGAATTGGCCTATGTGTTAATAAAAAAATAAAATATTTTCATATACAGTAATTACCTGTAATATGTCACACTTCTTGCTTATATCACATAATATATGAATCTCTTAATAAGTATAAGACTACTTTAATTATTAATCTGAAAACAGTTAGTAACTCAGGGTAACTCAATGCTTTGTTTTCATTGGGGTTCTCTGACCCTCTTTCCCAGGATGCAACCCATAACAATTGGCTAATACCCAAGTACCTACTTACTGCAAGGTCAACAGGGGCAACAGTTGCAAAGAAACATGTCTGGTCCAGGATCAAACCCAAGTTCTTTGGATGTGAGCCGTAGGTGCTAACATTATTATTGTTAGGTAGCATTCTGACCACACATAATAATGATAATTTTATTTCTTAATAATATACATATAATTACAAGGGTAAGTTAACTGTGTATATTTCTTACAAGAGAAAAACCCAGCCATGTTTAGCATTTTGAGTAGACAAACTAGGACCAATAGTAACAACATAAACATACAATTGACAAATGTATACATAAATGCAGTACACACTGAATGTAAAAATTTATATAATATTGTACAGTAATACAAATTTTTGTGAAAATTAAGCATTTAGTGAAAAATATTTAATTAACATTTTATGTTAAACTTAAATTTAACTTCAAGAGAATTACAAAAGCAAACAGCAAAGTAATGATGCAATAATCGTTGAAGATATGATTAAATTAAAAAAAAAAAAAATAAGGAACTTTATGTAATTTATAGCTTGACAATAAAAAATTAATGGCAATTTCAGGAGAAACATTAAAAATTGCTTCAGGGAAATACATTAAGCACCCAGTCTATTTAAATTTTCATTTGAATTCATTGGCAAATTATTCAACATTCTCGGCCCCCTTTTATTTGCATTAAGTTTCGAAATGAGGTTAATGTGAACATGAGGAATATCAAAGAGGTACTTGTTTTGAGTGTGATTCATGTGTGTTCCGTTCCAATTTTTGGAAAAATTCAGAAGTCAGCATTGGCACTACTGTGTAAGGATTTTGAAAATGTGGAGTGAACAGCATTAAGTACATGTACAGCATTAATATTTAGTAGGTTTAGTGATCTGAGTATGTATGTATGTATAAGCATAGTGCTCCCTAAAACTTGAGTCTAAGATGGCTCTGATAGCTGCCTTTTGTTGTATTATAATTGGTTTGAGGTGGATAGCAGAGGCAGAACCCCAGGCACAAATTTCATAAGTGAAGGATCCCAATAGAAGTAAGTCACTTTGTCCTAGGTAATCTACACATATGCTGCTATGTATGATAATTTATGTAACTGTATTTATGTATACCTATACCTGAATAAACTTACATACTTACTTCCTGAATATGAGAACAAGGTAAAGTGTTAGTAGTATAAATTGGGGGAACATAATAGCTTACCAATGTTTTATTAGTGTAATTACATTATTTTTGTACAGTATAAATAAAGAAAAAATTTTATTTGTATTTTGTATCTGTAGTTGCTAATACTTTTTTTAAAAGGCTGGATATGAGCATTAAATTTTAAATGATTATTTACTTACCTTCATTCTTTGTCTCTTCCTCAGATTCATTAACTTGGATGATAAATTGTGGTCATGATTTATTCCCAAAAGTCTTATGGAATGTTTTTTTATATATTAAAAGAAAGTTTATTTATTATATATTATCCAAGAGGAAATTTTCCCCTTCCCCATTGGATGTTGAAATTAGAGTGGAAACTTCATGCAAAATTTGAACTCAAAATAATAGTGGTATTACACCTCTAAACTAGAATATTACCACGACTCACGAAATCATAGTAACATGAATGCAAACAAACAAACCAAACCAAACCAATCCCACCCATTCTGTGGTTTATTAAAATGTTACCAGTTATGATTTTATTTCTACCCCTTGAGAGTGAATGTGCTATTGTTACCTCGTAATGAAGGGCTGAGGATTGGTGGCTGTAGATTGGGGCGATATGGCCGCGGTGACATTGGCAAGCGACGAGGGAAGGCAAACATTGCAGTACTTGTTAGAAATAATGCTACAGACACGACCATTAATCCTGAAAAAGAAAGTTATTGTTATATAAATAAGACAGCTGGGCTTTATGAAACAATAGCAACAGTCACAGTTTATATACTAAGTTACACATGGTTCAGTTCAGTGCTTTTTTGTCAATACTATACAGTATTGTAATACAGTACAATAATTAAAGTATGTACACACAATTCTCTGACAGTTCACTAAGTCAACTCATACCTCACCAAGTACAGTATTGTACTGTACTGTGCTTCATGATTTCAGCTTTTATATATGGAGTATTTTGATGATGGTGAAGGGCTCTTGATCCAAGGAATGCGAGATACCCTTCCCTTTCCTCTAATCAGATGTGATCATTTCCCATTCCATAGGTGCTGTATGGCCTTTTTGGTTCTAGACTTCTCCATATAACTAAGAACCACTTGTTCCCTGTGATATATCTGTGACTGGTTTAAAGTCATCCTACTCCTGCAGCCTGGCCTGGTAGCAGATTTGTTTGGTGCCTGCCTGGTCAATCAGATTGTTGCTGTTGGCAGCCTGCTGTACCACATATCCATCACAACCCAATTGATCTGGCACTTACAGGAGACATTGATTGAGTTACCCCTTGGAAATTTCTATACTTATTCTGATGGTATTTTTTTTTTTTTTGTAGCATGCTGAATAGACTAAGCCAATAAATGTTGATAATGTTCTTATACTGTGCCCATAGCACCCCTGCTCTTCACTGGCTTAATCTTACATTTCTTACCCAATCTCTCACTCCTTATGGGAACAATTTTGTTCAGTAACAGCACTCGAACAGCCTTCTGGAACGAATTATGGCTGAAACTCGAGGCACCACTGTACAGTAGTACCTAAGGATACGAACTTATTCGTTCCAGAAGGCTGTTCGGGTGCTGATACCGAACGAATTTGTTCCCATAAAGAATAATGTAAATTAGATTAATCCATTTCAGACCCACAAAAATACACTTACAAAAGTACTTACATAACTGTTCGAGTTTTAAGCTGTTCGTATCACTGTACTTTGCTATTAATCTTTGTGTTCCATTTGTCTGAAAATTGAATATCCATTTGCCTACTTTTCCCATTATACCAAATGACTTCATTTTATGTGCCATCACTCTATGATTGCAACTGCCAAGAGCCTTCACAAAATCTGTGTAGAACACATCTGCATTTTGAGTGTCTTACAGAAAGTCTACATAATCTTGTCAAAATACATAAGCAGCTGTGACAAGCATGGTCTTCCTGCTCTACAACCAAGCTGGTTTGGGTTGTGCAGGTCATGCTTTTCCATGAAGTTTGTAAATTGATATCTCATCACCCTTTCAAAGACTTTGATTGTAAGTAAGTAATGTGTGATGTAATACTACTTGGTCCATAATTCTTTTTTACCATCATTTCACTGCCTCCTTTGTGCAGAGGATCTATGACTACATCTTCCTCAAGGCCTCCAGAATTTCACCTAGATTTACACCAATACATAAAGGTGGTGACCCTACAGACTTAAACAACTATAGGCCAATATCTAACTTACCATTGCTATCCAAAATCTTTGAGAAACTCGTGCACAGGAGACTGTATTCATTTATAACGGCTCAAAACATACTCAACCCCTGCCAATTTGGATTCAGGAAAAATAAAAGCACTAACGATGCAATCATAAAAATGCTAGATCTGCTTTACACAGCGTTGGAAAATAAGGAATATCCACTAGGAATTTTTATTGACCTAAGAAAAGCTTTTGACACAGTAGACCACGACTTCCTACTCCACAAACTTGATCATTACGGTATAAGAGGCCATGCGCTTGCTTATTTCAAATCTTACATTACTAATAGGTATCAGTACGTCACCATTAAAGACACAGCATCAGCAACACGGCCACTTGATACTGGAGTTCCACAGGGAAGTGTCCTTGGTCCCCTGCTCTTCCTCATATACATCAATGACCTTCCAAACGTATCCCAACACCTGAACCCCATTCTCTTTGCTGATGACACGACTTATGTCATCTCTCACCCTAATCTTGCCACCCTCAACACCATTGTGAATGAGGAGCTGATTAAAATATCGACTTGGATGACAGCCAATAAACTTACGCTTAACACTGACAAAACCTACTATGTTATGTTTGGTAGCAGAGCAGGAGATGCACAAATTAACATTAAGATTGACAAAACTCTAATTACCAGAAATAATGGGGGCAAATTCCTAGGCTTATACCTTGACAACAACCTGAATTTCAGCACCCATATCCAGCATATAACCAAAAAAGTATCCAAAACGGTTGGGATCCTCTCCAAGATACGATACTACGTGCCGCAAAATGCCCTTCTCACACTATACCACTCACTTATTTATCCATACCTCACCTATGCTATTTGTGCTTGGGGATCAACTGCAGCAACACACCTAAAGCCAACAAAAAGCTGCAGTAAGAATAATCACTAAATCCCATCCCTGGCAACACACCCCCCCACTCTTCATAGACCAAAACTTACTCCCAGTTCAGTACATCCACACTTACTACTGTGCAATCTACATCTACAGGGCCTTAAACTCTAATATCAACCTTGACCTAAAACGCTTTCTTGATAGTTGTGACAGAACTCACAGGCATAACACCAGACACAAACATCTCTACGACATTCCCCGTGTCCGACTAAACCTTCACAAAAATTCAATGTATGTCAAAGGACCTAAAATCTGGAATACCCTACCTGAGAACTCTAGAACTGCAGACACATTCATCACCTTCAAAACTACCATTAGAAAACATCTTATCTCCCTGATACACCCCGTCAACTAACTACACGAATACCACCTGGTGGTTCACACTTACACCCACTCACTCATTTGACCATAAACAGAAATATTAATCTCAATCTTAAAATAATGAATCCTGTGATACTCCAATACTGAAACTATGTACTGTGCCAAAACAAAAGCATTCACATTACTAAACTTACAAACTAGTATTTAGTCACTTAGCCATAATACCAACTTACCTCATAATTTGTAATATTTTACAATTAAGAATAAAACTAAGTATGCCCGAAATGCCTAGCCATGCTAAGCGTTCTAGTGGTACACTCTGTAATCACAATTTTACTACATGTAAACCACACAATAACCAAATTTCTGTAAACTCAGCATTGTAATCCTTATAGAGAATAAACTTTGAATTTGAATTTGAATTTGAACTCTATCTCCAAAGAATACCGAGAGCTCATGCTAGTGGTATTTTCCACTTCTTTATGAATAAGGAACCCCAGGAATTTAGCCCAAGTGTTAGGTTAGGTTCCTGGGGTGCTTATGGTATGTCAGATAGTATATGATTAGTAAGGCAGTCAGAGGTAATGAATTTCTTTTTATATTATCCACTCTAGTTTCCTATTATGATAAAGAACCATATCAAACAACTTTCCAGATGAATAAACTAACAGCCAACTCAGATCACTGAAAGCACTCTGAAAGATGTACATAGAAAATTAAGAGGCATGAGCATGGGTTTAGAGATGACATCTCTTCATTCATGAATCTCTAAGGTTTATGACAGTGAGGAAAATAAAGTAGGAGGGAAAAGACTAGCTTCCTTGACTACAATAAACCATTTGACAAAGTACCACACAGGGGATAACAGGGAAATTACTCAAATGGATACAGGAATACTTAGTGAACAGAAGGAAGAAGGTAATGGTAAGGAAACTGTTGGTGTTGGCACAGGTGACAAGTGTAATTCCCCAATGATCTGTGCCTGTACCCCTGCAATTTCTAATATTTGAAAACGATCTGCTAGAGGAAATTGAATTTTATGAACTGTATTGTATTACTACTTGTGGATTAAGTGAAATTAACTAGGAAGATAATTAAAGAGGAAAGTAAGAGGCTTTAAGACTAAAAGGCTGCAAACCCTGAAGAAGGGGTGTTAATGTTGCAGTTTATAACTGTTTACCTGGAGAGAGTTTCGGGGGTCAACGCCCCCGCGGCCCGGTCTGTGACCAGGCCTCCTGGTGGATCAGCGCCTGATCAACCAGGCTGTTGCTGCTGGCTGCACGCAAACCAACGTACGAGCCACAGCCCGGCTGATCAGGAACTGACTTTAGGTGCTTGTCCAGTGCCAGCTTGAAGACTGCCAGGGGTCTGTTGGTAATCCCCCTTGTGTGTGCTGGGAGGCAGTTGAACAGTCTCGGGCCCCTGACACTTATTGTATGGTCTCTTAACGTGCTAGTGACACCCCTGCTTTTCATTGGGGGGATGGTGCATCGTCTGCCAAGTCTTTTGCTTTCGTAGTGAGTGATTTTCGTGTGCAAGTTCGGTACTAGTCCCTCTAGATTTTCCAGGTGTATATAATCATGTATCTCTCCTCCTGCGTTCCAGGGAATACAGGTTTAGAAACCTCAAGCGCTCCCAGTAATTGAGGTGTTTTATCTCCGTTATGCGCGCCGTGAAAGTTCTCTGTACATTTTCTAGGTCGGCAATTTCACCTGCCTTGAAAGGTGCTGTTAGAGTGCAGCAAATTCCAGCCTAGATAGAACAAGTGACCTGAAGAGTGTCATCATGGGCTTGGCCTCCCTAGTTTTTGAAGGTTCTCATTATCCATCCTGTCATTTTTCTAGCAGATGCGATTGATACAATGTTATGGTCCTTGAAGGTGAGATCCTCCGACATAATCACTCCCAGGTCTTTGACGTTGGTGTTTCGCTCTATTTCGTGGCCAGAATTTGTTTTGTACTCTGATGAAGATTTAATTTCCTCATGTTTACCATATCTGAGTAATTGAAATTTCTCATCGTTGAACTTCATATTGTTTTCTGCAGCCCACTGAAAGATTTGGTTGATGTCCGCCTGGAGCCTTGCAGTGTCTGCAATGGAAGACACTGTCATGCAGATTCGGGTGTCATCTGCAAAGGAAGACACGGTGCTGTGGCTGACATCCTTGTCTATGTCGGATATGAGGATGAGGAACAAGATGGGAGCTAGTACTGTGCCTTGTGGAACAGAGCTTTTCACCGTAGCTGCCTCGGACTTTACTCTGTTGACGACTACTCTCTGTGTTCTGTTAGTGAGGAAATTATAGATCCATCGACCGACTTTTCCTGTTATTCCTTTAGCGCGCATTTTGTGCGCTATTACGCCATGGTCACACTTGTCGAAGGCTTTTGCAAAGTCTGTATATATTACATCTGCATTCTTTTTGTCTTCTAGTGCATTTAGGACCTTGTCGTAGTGATCCAGTAGCTGAGACAGACAGGAGCGACCTGTTCTAAACCCATGTTGCCCTGGGTTGTGTAACTGATGGGTTTCTAGATGGGTGGTGATCTTGCTTCTTAGGACCCTTTCAAAGATTTTTATGATATGGGATGTTAGTGCTATTGGTCTGTAGTTCTTTGCTGTTGCTTTACTGCCCCCTTTGTGGAGTGGGGCTATGTCTGTTGTTTTTAGTAACTGAGGGACGACCCCCGTGTCCATGCTCCCTCTCCATAGGATGGAAAAGGCTCGTGATAGGGGCTTCTTGCAGTTCTTGATGAACACAGAGTTCCATGAGTCTGGCCCTGGGGCAGAGTGCATGGGCATGTCATTTATCGCCTGTTCGAAGTCATTTGGCGTCAGGATAACATCGGATAGGCTTGTGTTAATCAAATTTTGTGGCTCTCTCATAAAAAATTCATTTTGATCTTCGACTCTCAGTCTGGTTAGCGGCTTGCTAAAAACTGAGTCATATTGGGACTTGAGTAGCTCACTCATTTCCTTGCTGTCATCTGTGTAGGACCCATCTTGTTTAAGTAGGGGCCCAATACTGGGCGTTGTTCTCGATTTTGATTTGGCATAGGAGAAGAAATACTTTGGGTTTCTTTCGATTTCATTTATAGCTTTTAGTTCTTCCCACGATTCCTGACTCCTAAAGGATTCTTTTAGCTTAAGTTCGATGCTTGCTATTTCTCTGACCAGTGTCTCCCTGCGCATTTCAGATATATTGACCTCTTTTAGCCGCTCTGTTATTCTTTTCCGTCGCCTGTAAAGGGAGCGCCTGTCTCTTTCTATTTTACATCTACTCCTCCTTTTTCTTAGAGGAATAAGCCTTGTGCATACATCGAGTGCCACCGAGTTAATCTGTTCTAGGCATAAGTTTGGGTCTGTGTTGCTTAGTATATCTTCCCAGCTTATATCGGTTAGGACTTGGTTTACTTGGTCCCACTTTATGTTTTTGTTATTGAAGTTGAATTTGGTGAATGCTCCCTCGTGACTAGTCTCATTTTGTCGGTCTGGGGCTCCTCGCATACATGTCTGAACCTCAATTATGTTGTGATCTGAGTATATTGTTTTTGATATGGTGACATTTCTTATCAGATCATCATTGTTAGTGAATATGAGGTCTAGTGTATTCTCCAGTCTAGTAGGCTCTATTATTTGCTGGTTTAAATTGAATTTTGTGCAGAGATTTAAAAGCTCGTGTGAGTGTGAGTGTAAGTAAGTGTAAGTAAGTGTAGTGTAAGTGCACCTCTGGCAAAACAGTGATGGCATGAATGATGATGAAAGTTTTTCTTTTTCGGGCCACCATGCAGTGGTGGGAGATGGCCAATGTGTCAATAAAAAAAAATCACATTTTAAGTCAGGCCTGTCTTCATCCATGTCCCAAGATGCTGGTGAAAAGCTCTTGAACCACTGAATTGGAGGTACCTTCCCCTTCCTCAGTTAAAACATGATTATCTCCCATTCCCCAGGTGCTGTATGACCCTACAGGTTAAGCATCCCCACATAATTATGGTAGCAATATAATATACGTATATGGATTCATCCTAGAAGACTCACAAGACAAGACTCACCTAGCCACCAGGCACCTATCCATCTTGGGTCCGTAGGATCTATGCCAGGATCTGCGATAGGATCAACATACAGTCGGGTGCAGAAGGACCCCAACACGAAGCCCAGCGTTGGTCCCAGGATCCGCACCCCGCTCGTCACCGCTGTGGGGTAGATAGCTATTACTACTATGGCATGTTCCCAACAACAAGTCACCAAATGAGGAGTGATAATCCTACAACCACCCATCCTTAGTGACCAGCTGTAGATTCAAAATTCCACTGCTGCTACCATGGTATGATGCAAGCTCAGTTTCCTGCCACCAGTCATAGTTTATGGAGGGTGGGGGAGAGAGAATCCCTTTAAAAAATAAATCTCATTTCTGATTTTGAAATATGCATCTTGCCAAATTTGGAGAGAGGGATTTTCTCTTGGCCTTTGGACTAGTGATAGTGGCAGCCAAAGAAGAGCAACTGACTTGTATGGATGGATGGATGGAATGGGAGGAGGGATGGGATGGGATAGACTAAAATGGAATGAAATGGATGGGATGGGATGGAAGGATGGATGAATGGAATGGGAGGAGGGATGGGATGGACTGAAATGGAATGGATGGGATGGATGGAATGGATGGATGGGATGGATGGATGGATGAATTGTAAAGGACCTGCCTAGTATGGGCCTGCTGCAGTGTTCCTCCTTTCTTATGTTCTTATGGATAGATGGGATGGATGGATGGATGGATGGGATGGGATTGATGGATGGATGGATGGATGGATGGATGGGATGGATGGATGGGATGGATGGATGGATGGATGGATGGATGGGATGGATGGATGGGATGGATGGATGGATGGATGGATGGATGGATGGATGGGCTAGATGGATTGGATGGGATGGATGGATGGAATGGGTTGGATATACAAAAATTATCAATAAAGGAATTAGTTAAATTTTTATGGATTCCATCTCACATAGGCCTCCAGGAACATGATGAATTAGCCAAACAAGCATTAAATAATATCAATAAAGGAATTAGTTAAATTTTTATGGATTCCATCTCACATAGGCCTCCAGGAGCATGATGAATTAGCCAAACAAGCATTAAATAAAAGACAATGTTGAGAAAATATGAAATGACTAATATTTCTTTCAAGCGATGTAACACTGCCCAATAGAGCCTGATAAAGATCCATTGTAATCTCTGCAATCTTGATTTTTTTATGTGTGACCAGTCGCAGGATGAGCATGGGGGTGCACAATAAACCAGCCACTCAGGCGGTATAACTAATTTTGCGTATATACACCTCTTGGTGTATATATTCTGCGTCATAGTGGTGGTGATGCATTTTAAGAGCTATGAAGGCTTATGCCATACGAACCATGTTCCCAGAAATCCGGTGTTTAAGCATTCACTTAGCACTTAAGATACTAACCAACTTGCCTGTGGTGTGGAGAGAGGAATACAAAGCTTGTATAATATGTACACAAATGTCTGGACCGAAAGCAGAGCCACTGAGAAGAACTGGAACTGGAGGATTTCGTGGCTTGGTTGGCAGCGTCATCACCTCACACACTCGGTTTCCAAAACCGTTTACATATCACATCTGTCAGACACTGCAGCATCATGGGATCTTTATACTAAGAATTCTTCAACACTTGTCCAACCTTTGGACGAAGACCTACTTACACTAGTGGATGGTCCCACTGTGATCCCACCTCCTCCTTCGATCACCTGACTGCAGAATATAAGCCACTTCTCTGGCCATATGCTATACATCTTACAAGAATGATGGACTGAACACATCGATTCCAGGTTGAGGGACTGATTACCTCAACTCCTCTCCTCACACCTTCCTGCTTTGTACTGGACTGATGAAGCCACTGTGTGGTGAAACGTTTCTTCAATAAAGATTCCTATATGTTGCGTAAGTGTCTAAATTCTTCAACGTGTCGGTTTTCAAAACCATTTATCACGTCCAGGATGTATCACCGGAATGGGTGAAACGTTGGGTATGTTCTTTACACCTGCTGCCCCTGTTCACTCAACATTAAGTAGGCACCTAGATGTCGGTCGACTGGTGTGGGCAGCATCCTGGAAACAAGATTAAAGGATCACAATGGAAATAAGAGGGAAGTCTCCGATGACACACTAATTTCATTGGGTTATCCTGGGTAGCTAACCCTCCGGGTTAAAAATCAGAACAAAATCTTATCATATCCCCCTTTGAGCTATATCATGGCAGAGTTTCGTACAGGCAGAGTAAACTCTTCGACAGTAGAGTAGAAAGTATTCAGCTGTATCATCATGCATGGGGCACCAAGGGCAGCTCAGGCTGTCTACCAGGCGTAACTTGAAGTCAGAGTCAAAGTCAGAGGCATTTCCATCTTCTTGTAGGTTCGCCGGTCTTGTCCCGGCCCGGGTCTTTTGCAGATGGTGACCCGGCAAACATTTCCACAGGATAAAATGTTTGTACAGGGATGAGTGACATTTGGTTGTTCATGCAGAAAGCCCACGGTTATACAGAGCATTTCAGGCAAGGGATGTGCCGCTTGTTGGGTATATATCCCATACGTAGACGCACCATGGCAACATCCAGATGATCTTCATCACGAGCCCAAGGACTATGTCCGAGTCTGAGAGCCAAAGTTGATGACAGGTCCGTCCTATCACTGATCCCAATTCATTTACATCTAATGCCATTTTTTCCATCTCGGGCTGGGAATAAGCACTGTTTACAGCCCTATCAACAATCTTGTTTTCTCAGGTGCTCAGGATCAGGTAAAGTAAGACGTCACTGTCTGACTTTTATGAGTTATCCTAGGTAACTATGTAACTGCATTCGTGTGGCCTGTACCTGCATAAAAAACTTACTTCAATCTTCCAATGCAGGTGCTGAAGCTGGGAGCCACAGTACCCTGTACGCCCTTGTAGATCATCTTGTAGATTATGACAGGGGTGTCCCGTAGCTTTATTGCCAGCGCACTCAGCTCACACACTGAGGTTCAGGGGTCGATCCCCAATACGAATGGAAAAAAAAACAAATCAGGACGAGTTTCCAAAAGACACCCGCTGTCCATGTTCACCCATCAGTAAAATGGGTAACTGGGTGTTAGTAGACTTGCATGGGTCGCTTCCTGGGACAAAATTTACCTAATCTGGCCGAAATGTTCTTCATAACAAGAGGCTTTCTATATAGTAGTATGTCATTGATGTTAGATAGGCCTGTATACCTTGTACTTGTACAAATAAGATATTATTATAATTATTGAGGGCCATCAAAGTTTACGCCTTATTAAGCCCTGCTTCCCAGATTATGAGGAAGGAATAGTGCCCAACGATAAGGGGAAATGGGGAAGGGAATACAGTTCCCTTCGAGAACAGAAACGGGAATAAAAAGTTCCCAATTAGGTCAGGTGGACCCCACACCTGAACTCTGGCATTCAGACCCTCAAACTCAACAGACTCAGCGCGTGGCTTCCCCCAGGTCTTAGAAATCCACAGTGGAAAATAGGAACCGATGATGTGCAGCGCCAAATGGACAATTGTCACTTTGACATTATGTGCTGGCAAGCGATAAAATTAACGAATTCAGAGGCAACTCAATCAAAGTATCAAAGCATCAAAGTATTTTATCCAGTGGATTATTACCAAGCATTCTGGAAAAATGTCCAGACTTTGCCCACTGTAAATAACGCATAACGACTTAAACTTTTTTTAATTCAAGCATACCTTGCTAAATTTTAAGGTAATATTTTTTTATAATAATTTTGTCATTAATTCATGTCTGCATAAATAACTCATTGCGACTGTAACCAAATATAAACATGAAAATAGTTCACTACCACTGTAACCTGCTTAGTTATCAAAACTTTGTAGCCCAGTCCCTGGACTCATTATGTGCCTCTAATATTTTGACTACCGCCCACAGGATGGATATGGGGTGCATAATAAAAGGCTAAACTGTATGGTGCCCCGACCAACTGTACGGCAGGCAGTGTATAATGACGATATGTGTCCCATGAAGAGAATAGAGGAATCTGTTACTAATGCTCCCAGAGTAAAGAATGACCTTTAAACCCCATCATGGATACAGCTGACGCATATGATGTCCTTCTTCCCGAGAGTCCGGGAAAAAATATACTACCCAGAACCAGGAGGAAATTGGAAATGTAACAAGGTTTTCTCCAGAAACAGAATCGGCAACACTTGTTCCCAATTAGGTCAGTTGAATTCCCCATCTAAACCCCAGAGGAGCCAGACAATCACTCCACTGAGTCAGCAACCGGCTTCCCCAAGGCCGTACTGATCTGCAGAACGTAAAAAAAGGTGATGTATGGCGCCCCGACCAATTGGCCAGCAGGCACTGTATTATGAGGAACAAGCCTCCCTGGGAGGTATTAAGGAATCCTTTACATATACTCAAGACAAAGTATAGCAAGATGACTGCACTCTACCAACGCCCACGGTAAAGACGACGACGACGCTGCCGCTGCTGCTTCTCCTCCTGCTTCTCCTCCTCTCCCTCCTCCTCTTCGTCGTCATCGTCGTCCTCCTCCTCCTCTTCCTCATCGTCGTCCTCCTCTTCCTCATCGTCGTCCTCCTCTTCCTCTTCGTTATCGTTGTCGTCGTCGTCGTCTTTGTCCTCCTCCTCCTCCTCCTCCTACTTTCGTTGGTGTTACAGTTCAATTCCAACGTATTTCAATTCATTCTTTAACAAAGGTACAAATAAATCAAAGGTCTCTAGTATAATATAGGTGGCCTGGTGGCTAAAGCTCCCGCTTCACACACGGAGGGCCCGGATTCGATTCCTGGCGGGTGGAAACATTTCGACACGTTTCCTTACACCTATTGTCCTGTTCACCTAGCAGCAAATAGGTACCTGGGTGTTAGTCGACTGGTGCGGGTCGCATCCTGGGGGACAAGATTGAGGACCACAATGGAAATAAGACAGACAGTCCTCGATGACGCACTGACTTTCTTGGGTTATCCTGGATGGCTAACCCTCTGGGGTTAAAAATCCGAACGAAATCTTATCTTATCTTATCTAACATCAACTTGAACAAGCATAGACTAGAACTAGGATCAGTTAGCTCTAAAAGAGTACACACACACACACACACACTGAAGACACAAATGAGTCAGAGAGATAGTAGGAAGTAT